ATGTATATATATATTTATATTAATGTATATATAAATCTGATTGAGCTGATATGTAAACAAAGCTCTTCTTATGAATGGAGTGTATGAGTTGATATATATATATTGAAGTCAGATCTATATCTATATGCATCAGCTGGAAGCGCGTGGAGCCTCCTCTCGACGCAGAATCAACAATTTGCAGCCTCTGTTTGGACTAAAATAAAGAGAGAGTATTGTTTGGTTATAGACGGCCGATTGCAGTGATTCTCTGATTAAATTATTCAAAATTGAATTGCTTTGATTAAACATAACTTTCGCATGACTTTTGTAGATGATGATAGCGTCGCTTGAAATTCCTTGGAAATGTCCAAATGTTGAACGATTATGGTGCATAGCCAACGGCCTACGATTACAAACCTTCAGCGTGGCCTCGGATGTGACGCGCGCCACCTTGAGGCCCGGCTCCGGCGAGTCATGATGCCAGAGCCTCACATAGACAGGTATCGAGTTGGGCAGCTGCTGATGGGATGACCTGTGGCGGCTCGGCTGAAACAGATGGTGGCGGCCGCGCAAGGTGTGCGTGTCGCTGCCGCTGTCGTTGCTGCGCTGATTGGCCCCCGGCCCGGCACCGCTAATTGTGGCCGAGAGCGTCGTATTGGAGCCAGTCATTAGCGTTGTCGTCGATGTGTGCGTTGAGCTGCCGTTGTCGTGCGTCGGCGGCTCCGTTGTCGATTCGTTGGGAAAATACTCGACCGTCGCCTTAAACTGTTCGGTCAGATAGGTGGGCGCCAGATGGCAAATTTGATGGACATAATGCCACTTGAGGCTGTCCACATTCGGCGGATCGCTGCTCAGCCGACGAAATGTGCTGCGTATTTTGGAGCGCACAAAGATGCGATGCGCACGCCACAGGCTGCGCGGCAAATAGCTTTTGTATGCCTTCTCCACATCCTGGGCGATTAGCTGCTGCTCCTCCTTGTCGATCAGCATGTCCATGACGGCCAGGCCCATCACCTTGTCCTTGTGCTCCGGATAGCGGATCTCGTTGATCTCCTCGTGCAGCATATCGTAGCGCATCTGATGGTACAGATACTTATGGCAGTGCACATCAATGACCGGCAGTTGTCGGTCCAGTTCCGGGACACGGAAACGCATGCGGAAACAGTAGCGCACATTGCAGTTGAGCAGCTCGCCTGGCAGCTGCCACTTGTGCTTCACTTTGTCGGCGGGCGTTGGATCGTTGTTATTGTTGTTGCTGTGCTCACGGATGCCGAACAGCAGCACTGCCGTGGGCAGTATGTCCATGTGGCGGCACATTGTGGTGCATATTTCCTCGCAGTGGAGCGTCGGTGAGAATTTCTCGTAGCTGCCCTTGCGATAGTTGTAGACGTGGATGAGGCCATCGTTCTCGATGTTTTGGCTTGAGCTGCCACTCTGCAGGGACGCAGTTGCCAGGCTGGCACTGTCCGCTAGCGAGGTGCGTCCGCTACTGCTGTCGTCCATTGTTGCACCAATAACAACAACAACGGGAAACTCTTCGACCACCTCCCACCCGCCAACGCCTGCAACTCACAGACGCTAGCTACAATCACCGCTTGGCTAGGAATATGGTCGATTATATTGGGGCTTTGTACGGGTGCCACAGACACAGCTAAAGCCACAGTTACATTCACAGCCACCAAAACCAAAACAAAACAAAAACAAATTCAATCAAATATATTTCTCTTTTTTCTTTTTCTCTTTTTTCTTTTTTTTTTGCCTATTTTTGGCTCAGTTGGTGTTTGCGTCGGTGCTTCATTAATATGCCGTTTATTTGCTCAAATTTTCACGCACTAACTAGCACTTTTTTCTAATATTTAACTATCTACGTTGCGCAAAAAATGTAAATATAGCGGATGGAAAAAAAAAATAATATGCACTATTAGCATTGATTGTTTTTGTCTAGTTATTTTCTTTGAAGCAGGTATCGATAACTTGTTGCAGACTGTGTTGCGTGATTTTACAACACTCTCGGTATTTATTGTCAAGCGTCTGGCAGCACTGGCAGGTCTGTCAATTCTTTATATAACCTCAAATCTAAAAATTTCAAGTATCGGGCGAGAGGAGAAATAGTTTAATTTTTTGTGTAAATATATATTCACTGAAAACTTGACAAAAAGCTTTAACCATATATATCAGCTATGTCCGACTTCGAGAATCTAACCGACAATGATAAAGAGCTGCAGGAGTTTCTTATGATTGAGAAGCAGAAGGCACAGGTCAATGCACAGGTAACTGAATTGATTACACATAAGTACATGTCTTGAAATGATAATACATATCTAATTATGAACTTAGATACATGAGTTCAATGAGATCTGCTGGGAGAAATGCATTGGTAAGCCGAGCACCAAACTGGACCATGCCACAGAGACGTGTCTCAGCAATTGCGTCGACCGATTCATCGACACATCGCTGCTGATAACACAGCGCTTCGCACAGATGCTGCAGAAGCAGAGCTCMGGCGGCATGTAGGCGACTGACTGACTAGTCACAGTACCGTTGTAGAGTACATTTCATGTTGCAGCCAACAGCCAACAGCAAAAACCACAACAACAACAACAGAAGCCGCATCAGCATACACTTTTGTGAGCCCAACCTGAGCTGGAATTGCAAACTATTTGTTTTTGTGCTTTACACACACACACACACACACATATACACACTCGTTACCAACTAAATAATTTTGAAAATTACTTTGTAAGAAGTTTGATGTGCGATTCTCTCTGGACAATGCGGTGCAAAATTTTTATTCTGTCGTTCACCGTTCGTATTGCTAGCGACAAAACTTCCAAATTCTAAAACACTAAGAAACCCAAAAAAGAAGCAAACAAGACAAGACAAGCAGAAGAATTAACTATGTACATATGAAAAATGTACAATTTTATTTATTTTTTCTTTGTTGAAAAGTTTAGTGTTTGCTAAGTAAAAAAAAAATAATAATAATAAACATTATGACAATGTTAGTTAGTTACTGCTTAATGACTATTATTATCCTATGATCCGTGCTGAGCTTCAATCTGTTTCTTTTTCAGTTGGCGATAGAGATCGACCATTTTGTTGCGTTCCCCCTCGAGCATGTTGCGTGTTGCAGCGGGCAGATCTTTGCGTTTGCCCTTCATTTGTAGCTTTGTGGGCGCACTCTGAGCTGGAACTTTCTTTTTACTGGGCGGAGAGCTCTGTGTGGTCGCCGTTGCGCCATCAGCAATCAGCGACCTGAGCAACAGATTTGCTTTGCGTCCCGGCCTGGGCACAGTCTCATCTTTGTTTGCCTTACGCGGCAGAGTCTTCAGCGCAGGCGGCGCATGCACGATTTCACCAAATTTAATTACATCCCTCTTGTATTCCGAAAGAGGAGCAGGCTGTAAATGAATGAAAAGAAAGTCAACAATTGAAGCACATGATTATCTACATATACAGCTGCGGTCATGAGAATAGTACTGCAGCTGATCATTAAATTTATATATATTGTATATATAGCCCACCTCCTTCTTCGTCTCTTCATCGGCTTCCTTGAAGGCTCTTTTTATCAGCTCTTTGCGCGTCTTAGCATCCATGCCATTCTTGACCACTGCATTGGTTTTTCTGCGTCCATTTTTCAGATTGTGCCGTTCCTTTTGTTTCTGCTTGAGCAGCTCGTCAATCTCATTCTTGGGTCGCTTCTGTAGCGTTATTTCGCCCGTTTTCGGATTGCGTATAACATTGACACCATATTTCGCCTCGTACTGTGCTTCTCTCACGGATGCATTGGTTATGCGATTGACTCGCCGCAGATATTCCTCATCCGTTTCATTGTCGAACTGTTTGATTTTGCTTGCCTTTTGGCCGCCTGCCGTACTATTTGGCGTCTTTTTTGTTTTTGTTTCCTTGGGTTTGTCTTCTTTGCCGATATTACCGATTTTCAGCTTTTTACCCGCCTTGGCAGCCTCCACAATTCGCTTGAATTGCGTGAAATTGTGCGACGTCCGCTGTTCGTCGTTTTGTGTCGGCGGATTGTTCGTCACGTTGGCCAGCCTAGATGATAGAGAGGATTTGCTATAAAGTGAATAAACGAGCGTTAAATACATACTTTCTCTCTCTTTCTTCAATCTGCTTCAGTGGATCTCGCACTCCATGATGCTTGCGTACAGGTATTTTGCGTTTTCTCGCCATATCAACAAATGTTTCTTATAATGCAAACAACCAGATTGCTCTTGGTCACGTTTATTCAAAATACATGCAACAGCTGATTTTGTATATAAGTATCGGCGATACATCGATAGAGAAAAATTCTTAAACCAGTTTATTTATTTACAAAATTTATTGATATTCTAAGACTCCTTTGCTTGATATTTGTGGCATAAACTTGTGCCTCTGTTTAATTTATATTGATAATTGTATTAATGTATATGAAGAATTATTTTATTTATTATTTATAAGAGATATCGATTACCGTAAAAATCGTCGATATTGCGTATTTTGTTGCTGTTAAACAGACCCGGCATGTTATCGAAGGGCTTGTATCCAAGGACTGCATAATAATACATATTTACACACAAGCATACACATGCACAAATACGCATATATATGTATGCAATACATTTATTTTCTATCAATTTGTATCTTCATACAAATAACCCCATGCACATATCTATCCATGTATATGTGTTCATTGCAATTGCCGTGTTCTCTGCACTGCACATATGTATGTATGTATTTAGCGCGCATGCGTTAAATATGCGAGACAAGCAGAAAGACAGAGGCAGGCAAACACAAGCAGCCACAGCCACAGCCAGAGCCAGCAGCCCAAGTAACTAGCGAGCTTATAAGAGAGCAGAAAATCGTAATATATTCAACGTGCTTAATGCTGAACGCAAACAGTAATTTATTTATATTTATCATAAAATGCTCGAGCCCTGTGCCAAACAAATGTCCTTTTGATGTGTGAACGTGTATGTAATACAGATTGTGAATAGTTATTTATCTATTTTTTTTAAAATATTTTTTTTACCTACTGATTGTGACAACATTATTTTGATAAAAAATACTCAACTGCAATTTGCAGTGACAACTGAATACGGAAAATAGTGTGTACATATATATGTATGTACAATTGTACATTCGTTCAACGTGCGTGTTTTAAATTTTTTTTCATCTATTTTTTTAATACATATGTATTTATGTACAAGGATATACAAATTGTACAAGGGATGTTGTTTAAAAATGAATAGTGATGAGTGCCCCAGCAGCAGCAGCGGCAGCAGGCAAATAATCAAATACACAGTATGCAATACAGATAGATGTACATACAATTAGACACACATCTGCATACATACATATTTGCCCTCACATGTATGCCCGTACGTATGTGTGTGTGCGAGTGTAGCGTGACAGCCGCAGCATCAGCTGCCAGAGCATCAGTGAGCTCATAACGGTGCGCGAAAACGTCGAAAACTTACTTTTTGTCCCAACATTTTGTTCGTGAGTGAAAAAAGTTCTTAGATATGTGCATAAGCGAAAATCGAGTGAAAAAAAGTTGTTAGATATGTGCATAAGCGAGCATTGATTACATATATGTATGTATACACACACACACACACACGCAGAGTAAAAGCTAGTTATGTATAAGTAACATCAAAGTATGCTATAAAAATTATCGAGCATAATATCTGACACACAAGGATCGTTATGTATGCACGTACGTACATACACATCTTAATTAAATATACATATAACGAATGAAAATACAGTAGAAGTTCTTCTTCCATAACCAATAAGAATATTTAATAACAATTTCGTTGCTGAAGAAAAATTAAATATTTAAATGCCATCAGTGCATGAAAGCATAATATAAACATTAATGACACAAGCACATGTACATATGTATGTATGTACAGCTACACACAAACATATATAGTTGGCGGCAAATTCGGCAAAAAATGTTGCTGGCACAAATTTGTTGAATAATAAAACTGAGACGAAAACATGTAAATATGTTTGTCTGCTCAAATATTTTGCCGTAATGTTGCCTAAACATAAATATATACACATATATWCACATACAGCTCTATCTGTCTGTCTGCATGTACGGTTTGTCTAAAAATACTATCGTACATAAATTCAAATAAATAAATCTTGCTTTCATGTATAATTGCAATTGGTTTTGCTGTGCGCGCCTTGTGAATAAGAATTAAATGCCAGAGTTTTAGTTTTAGTTTTATTTTTCATATATGTATGTTCATGCATATATACAAAAATGTATAAAAATACATAGCTCACATTCAATATAGAATATGGCTGTCAGCTAACTGTAAATCAAAATTCAAACGAACGTGCCTCAAGGTCATCTCATAAATTTATCGGTGTCCGTACGCAATTTTTAAATAATCGAAATGGAAATCGAATGCGTACATACATACACATATGCAGCCGTACATACTATCATATAAATACTTACTGAGCCACTTTTTTATAGCATACTTTAATGAGCTCTCCTTGGCGAGCTACTGTGCGAGCGAGTGAGCGAGCTAGCGACCGCACGTGTGTAACCTACAAACATACATGCGTGTGTGTGTTTGTGTGTGTGCGCGTGGATGTGTGCTTGCGTATGTAAATTTTTTGTACGCACATCAGTTGCGATAATTACACCAGACTATATTTGACATGGCTGAACCACTTGAGTTGTGCGATTTGGCTTGAACGAATACCTATAAATATGTATGCTTATTAAAAGCATTCCATTGCCGCATATTAATCATACGCCACGTATAATTAGAGTAATTGCCACAATGAAAGAAAGGCAAGCATTATGTGCCTACATTGCTGCATTACGCGCAACGGAACGTAAATTATTAAAAGCACGTTGGCAATCAATCGTCATTTGAGCCAAACGACAGGATAAGACGACAGTAATCGGTTTGTAATGCCATTCCAGCCAGCTCGAGGTGATTGAACTTGCCGGCGTTGCCACTTTAACCACACGCACATACCATACACTCACATACATACAAAGAAATGCCCATATATATGTACGTACATACGTACGTACATATACATACATAATACATATATTCGTATATTTATATACATATATGTACATAAATATGTATGTATTTAAGCCCGCATTTGTGCTCTCTCGCTCATCAGTATTTTGCCTTTACGCTTTGCTTTCGCTTTTTCTGCGCTTGCCTGCTTCCATTGTTTTAAGTAATATGCACATTACTTAAAACAAAAGACTGTGAGAATTTTGTTCTCATTATTTTCTTGCCTGTTGACTGAATTCAATCGATATAAAATTGAATCTAATTAGCTAACGATAGTATGTATGTGCTGGGAATAACATATACTTAACATACATTCTAAATGTTATCATAACGAATTGCTCATTAAAGGAAACTAAACATACAATAATTATGTACATATGTATATACATATGTTCATATCAGTTGGCAACAAATTAACAGTTAAACACGATCTAATGCACGCATGTCAAAGAGAAGAGCGCAGCAGAGCAGAGAAAGAAAGAGAACGAGTGAAACGAGCGAGTGGCAGTCATCGCTTGAGCACTTCAGATGCGAACAGTGTTGCCATAATTGTTTATTGTTTCGCTTATTAGTGACGCGATCAGCAGCAATTTAAAAAGTAAACACAAAACAAAGTGAAGTAAATGAATTGAAAGTATATTGCGCAATGTACAAAGACATAAATTGGGTCTCCAATTTTCCACGAAAACAGTGGAATTGCATTTTAATGGTCTACATTTTTGTTGTTTTTATTTATTTCTTCGTTTTCTGTTCCTTTTCGAGTCTCGAGTGAACGCTGGCAACACTACTCACGACAGGCTCGCTCGCACGCTCGTTTAGCTGCTCGCTCACTTAGTCAAGAGACAGTTGTTATGCTGAGAGCGGGCGCGGGTGCGACGCTTAACGGATTTCGAGCATGATTAGCGTAGTATTGCTGCAATGGTCAGGGACGGCACGCGTTGAGCCAATCAGTTATTCCCTCGTTTCGCTAACAATTCAAAAATAGGAAATATTTTTTAATATCTGACTGATCCGCATTGTATGTATATATACATACACAAATACATATACATTTGCGCACAACAAATACCCAAACAAAAAGAGAATTTGCTGAAATAGCGCAAAAAGAACCGCACTCATATGAGTATGTACATTTGTGTGTGTGTGTGTGTGTGCATATAGACGTCAAAGCAGACGGCAAATACTAGGAATCAGACAATAGCCGCAACACTCGCGACAAAACAATTTTGGGGCGACAAAAATTTCAACATTCAAATTTATTTTTCATTTATTTTTATTTTGTTTTAGTCTCACGAAATTCGGTGCAAATGCAATTGAGTGTATATACGTGTATCTGCCGAACTATAT